GCGGCATCAGGGAAATTAACCTCAGAGGGGAAAATAAATTCTTACGTCTCGCCCCAACCCTCAGTAAGAATACCGTAGCTGTTTCTTGTGAGCACCGCGGTCTTGTTTGACAATATAATGAGATCTGGTTAAACAGATGAAAAATGCCTTAACCTGCATGTTTATCTCAACCCTGGCCACAGCTTTCGGCCCCCCTCCCAGGCGCTCCCTTCTCTGCGGAGAGAGTCAAGAACCTTTCCTTGCAGCCCGTGGCTCTGAGCTGGCATCTCGCGGCACCACGCCCCTTCTGTAATAGCAGAAGGCAGGAGTTTCTGTCAGCGTGAATTTCCTGACGTGTACAGGCCGGGGTCATGATCTCAGTGGTGCCTGGGGGCAGTTTCTTCTGTCAAACGTCTGGAAGCGAATGAGAAGAGAAAGGGGAGAGTGACTGCAAGAAACCAGCAGGAGGAAGGTTGGCGAGTGACGCTCAGCAGTGCTCGTCTGGAGCTGGGCTGGAAGGGGGGTGGCTGGGACCCCCACCAACAAGCAAACCCCAGGAGGCAGCCTCTCAAGGGTCTGGAGAACCAAGCTCACAGTCGAGACAACTCCTTTCACGTGTAATTCACGTGACCAGCTGGCCGTTCCTTCCAAGCCAAGCCTACAGAGAACACAGTGACAGGGGTCTGGGGAGCTGTCCCATTACTGCAGACAAGGTACGTACCCAGTCGGGATAACTCTGAATGAGAAGTGCCATTTGACACACGAATACATAGTGTGAGAAAGACTCTGACCCACCCGACGCTTTCCAACCCATCTTCCCCAGGGTTTCGCCTTCTAGCCAGCTGTCTCTTTATCTCTCCCTCGCACAGATCCCTAACACTCAGCACATAGTATCATACTTATCCATTTATGTGGCTTTTCCCCACCCGACCGAGCTCTTGAAAGCAAGGAATTATCTCCCACAGACCTTCACTCCCAGAGGATGCTCCACAGAAACACATTAGTTGCAGTAAACCACTTATTTAATGAATAGAAAATGGCCATTTGAGAAAGAACAGGAAAAAGAAAACATAGCATAAGGGTAGCGCTTTGGGGCCTCCAGGAACCACTGCAAAACCAGGTGGTCGTGCACGTGTAACAGCCGTGCTTCCTGCCAATAAAGGGACTCCTTCCACCGTGATGCAGTGTCCCCGGAGCTTCACCGCTGCTGCCTGCCGCAGTGCCGGGCGGCATTGCCGCCCAGTTAAACCGCCTGTGCTTCCTCAGCTTGGACGTGATTTTAACAAAGGATTAAGTGATTTTCAAAAGGACCCTACGAGGTATAGAAAGATACCAGTGTAACTAGATTTTTCAACAGTTTGGTAGGAGAGAGTTAAGCAAATGTCTTTACCTGGTATTGTACTGTCTTTCAATGAGTCCCTTTACTTTAGAATACACTGTGCTGGACCCAGCCGGACTGGACTGGGTTGGATTGGATCGGATTGAAGCTGATATTTTCCAAGTGTTGCCTAGCCCAGCAGACTGTAAACTCCTAGAAGGCAAGGGAGGACCTTGGGTTTTTCCCTACCCAGGGCTTGGCACGCGGTAGTTACTCAATATTTGCAGAATATAAAAGTAAGAGAGTTCTTTGGGAAGGAGCCCAAAAGAATCTAAGATCTACCTGTCACTTCTGTCTGGCTTTGCCCTCCTAGTAAGGTGGACGATATTGCTGTTTTTATTCTTAATTATGCTGAACATCGTCATTTAGAGGAAAACCATAAGCCTTAAGTTCCTCATGTGAAGGTTTTGTGTCTGTTTGTTTTGAGGGGTTTACTTTCTTTTTTAAGTGGGTGTAACGAAACGAACTCCAAAGGGCTGAGACCGTTCAAACCGCCTCCCGCAGACGGCAGCGCGCCCCGCTCCCCGGGAAGCCAGCCCTCAGCGGAGGCCGAGGCGCGGCGCGGAGCGGAGCAGAGGGAGGCCAACAGGGTGCGATGCAACACTGACGAGAATAAAGGAGACCCATGCCACCATCTTTCCCCCTCGACGCGGTTTCCACAACGTTAGGATCGACAGAAAGCTGCAATTTCCCCCCAAAATTGAGATGTCCCCTTTAAAATGATCTCTCTGGTTATCACTGGGGCAGCTTGTGTCTCAAGGGTCATTAACCTTCCACCCTGCACCCCTCATCCTGGGCTCCGGGAGTGTCTGCCTAAGAGAGTAGCTTCCAGAGGGGGTCAGTGTTCCCTCTTAGGAGCCCCCAGAGCAAATGACTGAACAGATTAGGACGGATTAGACAGATAACAATTCAGACCCTTTTACAAGCACATTTTTCACTCGACACTCAAATTCCCTTCTGTGCCCCGTAGTCTCACACAACCCAACGACTGGATAGTATTACTGAAATATCTTTGCCCCAGCCGAGTGCGTGGAACTGTGCAAAGCCAGATGTTCTTGTAACCCTGTTTTACTGAGTTATTTATATCCATATAATATTTGACATTTCCTGTGTTGTTAAAGAGTTGGGGGCCCTTGACGTATTTTTAAGAGAACAGTGCCGACTTTTCATTTTTTTTCTTTGATGCCCTGGACCAGAAATAAGTAATATAAAGAGAGGCTGTATTAAACAGATGTTTAGATATCTCAAGTCAACCTTATTTTAATGCCTTTCATCTTAAATGATCTTCATGAACAGAAAGATGCGAGAGTCAATGAATATACGAAGTACACACCTATGGGCCTGAAATAAGTCAGCCAACAGAGAAAGAAAAAATGTTAATAAATATACAAAATATATAAAAATAAAAAATACAATCCATATTTCTAAGACTAAACTCTATGGAGTATTGATGTATGAAGTATATCCTCTCTGAACAGATACAGAAAGGGCTAATTAAAAATTTTCCAAGCATAGGAAAGTGTTAGCTCGAAGACTTCTCTAGCTAAATGAAATAATGGAAACTTTATAGAGTTAAAAGTATTTGGTTGATGCTAAGTGGTAAGAATACTTAAACTGTACCTGAAATTTGGTATCAGAGAAGGTAATCATTCTTTTTCTTTGTTTATTGTAAGGATCCACTCACAAACTCTCCTTTTTTATTTCTAAGATCTCCAAATTTTTAAAAAGCTTTCTCCTTTACAGGATGTGACAGGGAGGGGTCCTGGTTTATCATTCTTGATAACTTTGACTGTTCCACCCTGAGAGCAAAAGTCATAGAAAAACAGAGAAAAAATAAGTGAATTATTTGAGGTCTCTGGTCTTCAGAGCTGCTTTATAAACTTCTTCAAAACTCCCCACACTCATTTTTTTGTTTGTTTTCGTGTGTGTTTAAGATCCGCTTCCTTTCCTGAAGGCAGAGGAGATGTGTATATAACCTTGTGCAGAGAAACTTCCAAAACACCTTCTGCCTTCCACTGTGTCTTGTTCACCCCACCCTGTACCCTCCTTCACTCTCCGAAGCTGAGGACTTTCCTGACAAACCCAATCCTTCCCACCAATTTAAGGAAACAAGATGCCACGGCCGGCTGGTGCCTATCTGACCACACGAAGCCTGCCCGCTCCAGTGCAGTGGGCAAATCCCTTGCAAATCCTCTAAGCTGTGATAAGTCTCTAGTCTTCAAATAGTGGACAGATCCTCTTGAAACACACAGGTCAGGACGGCCCTCAGGGTACCGGCTGGCTCATTTGTGTCATCAATTTCCCGGCCCTTTACCACTGATTCTAACAAATTCTGCACTGAACTGTATCAGGGCAGTCTCACTGCTCCCTTGGGATTGGGAGTCCAGCTCGGGACCCGTGACCAGGGTTCTCACCAGCTCTGCATCTCCCAGACTCTTCTAGACCCTAGTTAGCCTACTAGTCTCTGGCTCCCGAGTCAAGATCTTCTTTGCCCACCTCCTGAATTCTTGGCATTTTTCCTTCTCCTCGTAGTCCACACACTGCTCTTTTCCTTAAAAAATTCTCTGGATGTTTTGTCTCATTCAACATATGTTGTCTGTTTTTGCTTCTTTACTATTTATGCCAGAACCTTCTCCCCATGACTATTGACAACCTCTGTCCAACTCCAGAAAATCTCCCACCAGGAGGCAACTCAGTTCACTGGGACAACAGTGACAAGCTGCTGGCCTAGGCATTTAGGAAGGGATGGAATTCTGTTCACAGTCTCCTCCTACTGGCCTTCAAATTCACTCACCCGGTATATTCCTATGGAAGCCTTTCCTTCTCTGAAGTAGAATCTGAGCACCACACACAACCTTCTGTTTCACTAGGCTGCCTCTTATGGAACAAAGACTCAAGTCCAAGAGGTTTCCCTCCAAAAAACTCAAATCTGAGAGATATTTCTCCAGAAAGTCTAGCCCTTTCTTCAAAGACATCAGTTGATTCACCTAGTTGCAGCCTGGAGTTTATGAAACGAAAGTCCAAGGGTTGACTCTGGGGTGGGGAAGTTCATTTCGCATAAAGACTTCCACAGTCACAAGTAATACCAGCAACCTAGCAGCTTCTCCAAGAAAACTGGACTACTGGACGT